CCCTTTAAGAAGAATCTTGTCTGCCATCTGCTGGACACTTTTTGTTGTGCTCATATTTAGACGTCCTATTTTGCAAATGCTGCCTTBYTGAAATTTGGTATGATTGTTTGTCTTTGTGTCTATGGTGTATAATGATGTGATTGTGATGCTGTAATTCTGAGTGTTTTATGTGCTGCAGAAGAGGAACCTGCTGTAAAACAGCAATTATGCTGAGTCAGGCTTGATTTTTAATCTTTTCCTGTTAAATAAATAAATCAAATCAAATAAAATCAGCACAGGCACTGATGGCTGGTTAATGTGTTCATCAGTTTGCTTGTTTTTTTTTTTAATCCACTGCTTCACCCAGGCTCCCAACAAACAATTCATTTTGTGTCTAAACAGCAAGCATCATTACAGTCAGAATCACAACAAACATATGCCAGGAAACATGCTGGGTATTAGCTGCAATAGGCCTTGTATTATCAGACATATTTGTCTCGATGACACACTCCACATCTTGGTTGCGCGACGAGCTCTCTGTTGTCCTTAAACTACGGTGAGCAGCCTGCTGCTATTGGCTTGAAATAATGTTCTAATAAGCCAGCCATAATGTCAGAGTTCTGCAGAGCTCAGGCTGGAGGAAAAGTGCTTGTTTTTCCTGCTCACTGTGAGCCAGTTGACAGTGTTCACTCTGAATGAGGTGTCCTGTCACTTCACCATCTGCGCCAGGCAAATTAAAACTGCACACCATAGGGTGTTTGGCTCTGGCACTCAAAAAAAAAAAAAAAAAAAAAAAAAATTCCACAACTTCAACTCATTTTCCCTCTCTTATAAAAAGTATATTATTTCAACTCTTTTTATTTGTTAACAATTAAAACACGTAGAAAAGCACCAGACGCTCGTCTCGCACCGTTCTCCCTGCTTGCTGTGACTGTGTGGGTGACAACATAGTGAAAGAAAGAAATGGCCCCTGCATATGGCGTTTTCTTAAAAAAAAAGGGAAGCCAGCCCCTTGGGACAACAGCTTTGTTCGACATATGGGGTGTTTTATTGTCTAGAAAAGCTGATAATTGATCTTTAGTAGAGAGACTTAAAATGCTTCTTGTGCGAACTGGTGCTAAAAAACATTAGAAGCAAAATACAGGATCTGACTAAATGTGGAGAATTTAAAACAGTGCTAAGAAGCACCAGGGTGGGAAGAAGCCCGTAGGATTAAACAGCAGGGCTGCTCATCTTTTTTTGATATTAACTGAGTGACAATTCCTCCTTAAGAGGGGCTTCAGAGGAAACTGCGCCACTGTGGAGGTCCAGACCGGAGCCTTTGGCCTGTCTGCAGACAGTAGTGCAGAGGAATGTTGATATCTTCTTGCATGATGGGCTCTGGGCTGACGATAATCACTGCTCTGGATCAGCTGCCGTCAGTTCCTGACATCTCAATTTGTTTTTGTGACAAAGACTCCCCACTTTGTTTAAACCTCCACACTTTTCAGAAAGTTGGGTTTGTAGTTCTTTTGTAAACGTGTACATGAAAGCAAATCACACTGGTCAACGACCATCGATTTAAACTGACCTCTATTTGAGTTCTGCGATATTTAACAATCCAACACTTCTATGAGATCCTGTCATCTCGGCTGCGTTTTTGTTTTGCCAGGAGCTGCCCGGTGCGGCTGCGGGGGAAGTAATGAAACGTGACAGCGATGATGATCTTTCTTGAAACAGGGCATTAGGCAGCGTAGCCGGCAGAGCTCCTGGTCCATCAGAGGGGCGATGCTCCAGACAATGGCTATAATGTTTAAACTGTCAAACTGGCTGAAAGGGAGAAGAGATCCTTCCCATTTAGCCGCCTCAGTGAAACATTCTGTAACCTCCTACGTTGTTAAGTTCAAATACATTTACTTTGTGGGTATATAACTGAATAAATCTCATCTGCTTCTGCAGTGAGTGAGTAGGTGGAGGTTCCATGTGTTGTGCTGTGGTATTTAAAGAACAGGATCATTTTTCTAATCATATGCCCCGTTTGGTTAATTCTCTGCTTTCTTCTGCTTTGATTTCTGTCAAGCCAGTTTTTTTTAATCTTCAGTTAAATAAACCTAAAATCTGTTAAAGCAAACTCATCACTTCATCCTTGTAAATTTTAATTATTAATCATTAAAAAAACAGTAATTACAGTCGAGCTACATGAAAAGTGAGTTAGAATTTATCTTTGTTTAGAAACGTTTCATGTGTCTGACTGATGGAGAAGAAAATAACCAGCATCACACTTGGTTTTCTCAGGATTTCAAATCAAATCATCACAAAATGATGCCAACAACAACTCAAAACTAATCATTGGTGTATCAAAAGATTTTGGCAAATGACCGTTTTTGGAACCACAGCAGTCCAATACTACAAAAACTGAGGATTATTAGAATAGAAATGTTTTTGTACTGGTAAACTAATGAAAACAAGATTTAGGCTTCATTTGCAAAGGCAAATTCCCTGAACAATAATAATAATAATAAACAAACTTTTTAAGTATTAAAAGGCGATCTGTAGTTGCTTAATCCCAGTCAGATTTCTCAAGAGAAGCAGATAAATAAACTGTTAGCAAATTATTATAATTATAATTATTATTATAATTAGAAAAATAAAACTTTCACTGACCATACACGGAATCTAGCGCTGTGTTTTGCTTGCGAGTCGTTGCCAACACATCTGGAGAGAAGAAAAAACAAACAAACAAAACAAACAGTCATTGGTTAATTTATGTATAATTATTTCTACATGGCTGTTAATTCTCTATAAAATCACTTGATACCCAAATGCTCAACTGATCAATTGTGAACATAAATGTGACCCATCATATTGAAAGAGTGGGATGTGGAGAAATAGGCAGATAGTGTTTTGATTAAAACTCAAAAATTGCATTTTGTCAGAATTTAATGAATAAATGTCTCATCATTGTATTATCTGAATAAACTGTCTGAAACAAAATCCTATAAAAATGTTTTCAAACACTTTATTGACCAAAAACCTGATTTTGAGGAAAAAACGCCTTCATGTTTTTAGATTTTTCCCTGCAAGCTAGCAAAGTTTGTTTCTTCCCAGCTGGAAAATCTCAATATTCAAATACTATTTGAGGTTTCTTCTTTATAATGACATCAAAAATTCCTCATTGAAATTACATAAAATTAGGTTTCAGACCAAATATTAATGTATCATCGTAACCAACAAGATGAATTAAGTCATGTCTCTGGATCTGCTCATGATATCAGGATGATCCAGGTATCAAAGTGTAGTTTTAAAGCCAGGAATATGAAAAATTGATTAGGTCCTTTTGACCAAAATCCTCATTTTGATATGATGGGTCACAAATTATAAACTGGGCTGGACATTTTCTTCTTCAACATCAACTGAAATGCTATTTTAGTGTAGATAGATAATGATAATATGAATACTGCTATTACTAATAATAATGCTGCTCTAACAAAATCACTTGCTGCACTAAAACCCTGAAAAGATTAATGTATAAAAGTTGTGCATCTCACCGTGGCAGGTATCAGGATGCTGCTGGTAGCCATTCTCCACATCCTGTTCAAACCCACCTCTGAAGATAAACAGAGTAACAAAAAAACGTCAGTAAAATTTGCATCAATCCATTTCACTGAATGTCCTTCACTAACAAAGCACCTCTTTCCAAAATTGATTTTTCTCATGAGGACTGTTTGGAGATGGGGAGATAAGGGCACTATTCCAGAACTTAATTTGTTTTGTGTCTGGTCAAGGTCAGAGTGTCTCCATTGTTGGGACAAAGTAGAGCCAAGATCTGAAAGAGGAACGTCCCTTTAAATCTCTCCTCAAGGTTGTGCGCCGTCACTTCTGCAGCTCTTAGCAGATTGCAGAAAAGTTGTTTCAGAGAGAAGTTGGAATTTACTTGCACGTCTCCTCGTTCGTTTCACAAAGAGTTTTTTGTAGCTGCGACGCATTTAGTGGATCAAGGCTACTGCTGGTGAAATTGGTACCTACAGTTTGTCTGCTCTGCAATAAGCGTCTCAGTGTGTGATTGTGGAATGTCAGTGAAAAACTGTCTCGAGGGAAGTGCGTTGATTCTGAGTTACTGACACAAAAACCTGTCATTTACCAGTGATATTTTTGAACACATTTTCTCTCCTGAACCTTCTGCTGATAATGGCATGATACATACAGCTGTATGAGCAGATTTCAGAGAGAATCAGAGAAGCTAAATAGGATAAAAACACACAGACATGGAAACATTTTTGTGCAAATGTTTTAGTAAGGATTCTGAATGATTCCAATTCTTTTTAATCTCTAACAATTTTGCAAATATTTTCTTTGCAGTAAAAAAACTGAACAGAAAACTGAGCCAGTTTTAACAAAAGAGCAAAGAAAAGCTTCGCCGTGTGAAATGACTGAAATTTCTGGCGTTTTCAGCTTGCGTGCTAGTGATCCAAATCCACCTAATTCAACTTCTGAATCACTTCAAACTGAATAGAAACCTGATCTGACAGCCGCTGATTTTCTGCTGCGCTGATTAAAGCAAGCCTACGATTTCGCTCGTATGAAAGCTTCATCTTTCACCTCCGAGTCAGGTAGAAATCAACAGCTCATCCAGACGCACCCGTTCGATGGCTGAGTAATGAGACTGACTCAAGCTCCTTCAACTGCGACGAGTTTCCCACCGATGCCAACAATCCTCCCACACGTTGCAGTGAACCAAATTAAAATAGACAAAATAGACACAAGCTCATAAACAGCACAAGCTCAAGGGTAATGATCCACTATCCACTTTGTACAAGCATCCATGCACGCCCACTCTCTAACAAACCAATTAGTGCATTATATAACTTAAAACGCAAAAATACATGCAGCACAGATTTTATGCAAACACAAAATGTTCACCATCGACCTAAAGTTCGCGCCGTCCAAAAGAAACGTCGTGTTTTCATAAAACACATTACAGCACCAGAGAAATTTGGAAATTGGTGCAACAAAAAAAAAAAAAAAAAACATTTGAATGCCCAAAAGAATCAACAATAATACTGATGCAGAGGATAAAAAAAAAATATAGATTTTAATGTTCTTTAATGCGGAAATGCATGTTTAAAGTTAAAAACTGTGAGGAGTGTTCAGAAAGACACACAATGAGGGGCTGGAGACAATCAGACTTACAAAAAATTCACCACATCAGGATGGGAACACACGGCAAATCCCAGGTATGAATAGACAAAGAAAATTCAAATGACTGATCTATGAGGCTCAGGCAGCTCCTATTGCAGTTTCATACATGTCAAGTTGTACATATTGTCCTACATGGGATCAATAAAGTATCATTCGTTCATTAATCACACAGATTTCCTCCATTTTGCAGGTATATACTGTAGGACACTCATGGAGATTTCACAGATTTTTTCAAAAACTCAGCTTTGTATTTATTTTACGTTTCAGAGCCTGTAGGACGTAAAAAAAAATCCCCAATAAAATTAAATACCTATGTCCCTATGGCTAAACAACTGAAAATAAATTTCCACCTCGCCCCATCCTCCCCCACATGCATGAGTGCTACAGACTTCTGATGAAAATTACGAATTTTTCAGGGGTCACGATACAGGGATTGACATCTGTACAGTTTACAAAAGGCCACAATGATGGTTGTTTTGAAGCCAGAATAAATTTAAAATCTAAAGTTTACCCTTTTGAAAGGCACTCATTGGAAAGTCATGACCAGTTAAAAAAATCTGTACAAGATTTTTCTCATACTAATGTTTTATTGATGAATGGATGGACAGACAGAGATACTTTATTAATCCCAAAGGGAAATTACATGGTGGCCTGTAGTTCTCATTAATACAAACAATAAAAAGAATTACCCATCGGATAAAAACACGGTAAAAAGAACAACTAGGGGAAATAACCAGCTATCTTCCTCTGTTCCTGCCAGGAGTGTAATATTAAACAGCCTAATGGCACGAGGGACAAACAAGTTCTTTAGTCTCTCAGTAGAGCACCTCAATGAACAGAATCTGGTGCACACCGAGCTTTGCTGATGAAAGAAGACTGAGTTCAAGGGATGGGGCCCTGATTGGACATAATCGCCCTTATCTTTGAGAGCGTCCTCTTCTCCACCACCTTCTCCACAGAGTTCAGGCCCAGTAGGACACATGCCAACTCCCACATGTATGGATTTATACACACAAACAATCAAAAGGACTGAAATGGATGACAGCCATGAAAGAGCTGTATTAGGACAAGTCTGACAGTTAGCTTTAAAATGTTAAATTTACAAACAAGATACTTAAGAGTGGTTTAAAACTCATTTACAATACTGCAAATGTATCTTAAGGGTCATCAAAAAAAGTAACAAGAAACTAATCAAACAAATCTAAAATCTTATAAAGGATTTCACAGCTTGTAAACAGAGCTGTAGAAAAAGCTTCAGACTTGAACTCTTCACAACAGCAAACTCTCTGCTGTTGTGAAAGGAAAAAACAGCTGAAACAAATGAAAGTTTGCTTTGGTTAACTTGAAAAGAAAAGAAGTGTCTGCTTCCCTTTACAAATACATCTTTGTGGTACTCGTCTTGCATTGAGTCCAGTTGTACTTTTCCTCCTGAACAGTGATCCTGACTCCATTATACAAGTAATAACAGCATTTCTCCACCGTGGCAAAACAAGCCAGTCTGAATCCAATCTTTCCCCTTTGGTGTGTTTGTTTTCCTGTTAGTTCATTATTTGCATTCTGGCTGAAAGGAAAAAAAAAGTGTTGCACTCAGTGGTGCAGTATTGATTTCATTCAGCAGATCAGAGAAAATACATTCCTGGATGGCTGGCCTTTATTTTAATGAAAGCAGTGTTATACAGTGAGCCAGACTGATGCATCCTTGTAAGGTGAATATTTGCAAAATATTAACATCGATGTGAGCCACCAACAGGATCAGATACAGGCCTGAAATAACCTGAAGTTGAAGCCACTATGTCAGCACGAAGAGTGGGACAAAATTTGAAAAGAACTCGAAACGTTGGTCTTCTAGATCAGTGGTTCCCAAACTTTTTATCTTCTGACCCACAAAATATTCATGGCAAAAACTTGTGACCCCAAATATTACTGGTCTGAGTACACAAACTTTGTTAATAACCCTAAAAACACAGGCTTTTTGACAATCTAAACAGCTTATACACAAATATATATATACTTATTTATACTTATTTTGTGTTTTTGTAATAATCATAGGGAAACTAT